AAAGAACCAAAAGAAAGTGATTTTCTGAAAGAGGTAAAGATAAAGTTATTATAATTATTTTTTATAATGAAACAAGTAATGTTAATACGTAGTTTCATTTCTTTTATATTAAGTTAAAGTTTCTTATGAATGTCAGCTTAAAAAATACAATGTAGAAAAATATGCGATAGAGACATATGGGATTACTTACGATCCACATAACAAGAAATATATGATGGTTATGGAGTATGCAGATAAAGGAGATCTTAATAAATACATATCTGAAAATTTTCTTAAATGGGAAAAAAGAATAGAAATTCTTTGCTCAATATCAGACAATTTAAATCATAATCATAAGCAAGAAATATGCCATAGAGATCTTCACAGTGGTAATATAATAATGACAAGTGTCTGGGATTTTAAAGATCTTAAAATTAGTGTATATCCCCGAGGCAATAGAATCGTAGTGGTTTCACAAGTTTCGCAAGATGCTAACAAGTCGAATGTAGAACCAAAGATTATAGATTTAGGTTTTTCTAGAAAAATAGGTGACGCAACAGGCAATAAAGCATTTGGTAAAAAACCTTATGTTGCTCCTGAAATATTATCTTCAACCGGAGGTGCGCAAAATTACACAAAAGCATCAGATATTTATAGTTTAGGGGTAATAATGTCAGAGATGTCAATTGGAAAGCTATCTGAATTACAACTAAAATTCCCATATATATTTAGCTTGGGAATAAAATTTTCTTCAGGAACGCCTAATTGTTATAGACAGCTTGCAGAAAGGTGCATGCACGAAGAACCTTCAAAACGGCCAAATGCTGAAGAAGTTTATAAAGAGTTTCAGGAATGGATAAGAATTCTTAAGAAAAAGAAAATGATGAAAATAAATCAGATTTTAAAGAACTTAAAATAAAAGAATTTTTAAAAGCTGAAGAAATCAATTCATTATATCCAATAACTTGGCAACTAAGTAATACATGCGAAACTGAAGACAATGCCTTCTCAGACGAAGATTTTACATCATTGATTATTCATAAAGAATAAATACTAGTATGACAAAAATCCTTTTAATATTACAATATATTCATTGTTGGTTAACATGTGATAATTGGTCCATGCTGTTCTAAATTGAGGCGATGTCCGGCTCCCGCCACTGCAACAATAATGATGATTTTTTTGGTTTATCGCTATTCCCTGTAAGAATTTAATTAATCAGAAATCCTATTATTAAAAAGTCTATTAACGATAGTGATGAATAAAATTATCGTAGATACTAATTTACAAAAGTAGACCAATTAATAATTTATTTATTAAAGTATTCTAAAAATGCAAAAAAATTTACATGCCTGAAAAGGTATTAAAAAATTATGTTTGAAAGAAAAAGATTAGCTTTAATGATACCTAAAGAGCAGTAAGCTGGCTTAAACGGCAAAATCTTTACAGAATTATTTAATTTTGTAAAATATTTTAATATAATATATATACTGTATGTTATATTAATTATATTTTAACAATTTTAATACTATTATATTATTTAAGAATTTAAAATATCTATGTTAAGTCTGTTGTAACTATATTATACTTGTGGCCGAAATTCTGAATTTTCGAACTTAGTATCGAACTCAATTTCGAATAATGTAATAATGAATCAAAAATTAATCAAAATCGAAATTTTGATCGAAAGTTAAAAGTTAGTCTAAATTGTCGAAATTTAAATAAACTTTTGCGTTAGTTAAATCCTTTATTAAATAAAATTTGCCATTTTTTCAAAATAAAATTTATCATTTTTACAATATATAAATTTGGTATCGTCATTCCATAAACTGTCGAATATATATACGTACTATAATTTAGACTATAATCCAATATAATTAGTTCACTGTTTAAGTAATGTATTGAAATTGTATAAAATTCGATATTAATAGCATTTTTCATAGTAAAATTTTAGAATTCAATAATAATTGCACTAAATTCACGAACCATTTAATAACGGCTATAATTTTAAATATAAAAATTTAAATTTTTTACTAATTCATATAAACTTAATCATTTGGTTAACCAAATACCTTTTTCATACCAATAGCATGTCATCTAATGCGACCAAAAAAGCAATTGGTCATTCTCCTGATGAAATATTTAATAAATTTATAGAAGGAGATGAAGTTTATAAATGATATTATGCTGCAACATGTAGTTACTGTCAAAAAATTCTAACAACAGTATGTGGTTAATAGGGTTGCAAAATTACCGTAATTTTGAGCAATTTTACGAAATTTTGTAAAAGTTTTCCGAAACCAAAATTTCATGTAATTTTGATATCATGTGAATAATGTAGCCAAAAATTTTATTATCTCTGGTGTACTTCTGAATATAAAAGTATAGTTACGAACGTAGTGATAGAACTCAAATAATACTGGCCAGACTTACATAATGTTGTTGCAATAATCATGCTCTAATCCATTTTGTAAGTTTCAGCTGTAATTTATGTAATTTTCAACCCTAGTGGTTAATGTTGAGTTAACTTGCATTGAAATTATCGAGAACTCTATCATGAGTGAGTTACAATAAAAAATTCTGTTATTTGCTTATCCCAAGCAAATGAATGTCAGGGAAAAAATGTTAGGGAAAAGAAATGGTATGGATCCATACAGTTTGAAAGAATAGATTTTGACAAATTGCAAAAATGGCCATTAGGATAAATTTATCAGGTACTGTATGTGGTATTACAGTACAGTGATGGATAGAAACAGTAATGAATTTCTTAAATTTGAGTTGAAGGTAATCAATGCTAAAAATGAAGATTATGCTTAGTTAAATGCAAAAAGAAAGTGGCAGTGCTATTGACGAATGACATAGGTTGTTGAGTTAGATATTCTATCGATGATCTTCCAAGATTTCGATGATTTAAGTAATAATTATTAATATTGATCGAACCGATCAAAAAAAAAAAAAGGACAATCATTTCCTTCAAATTACCACATTCACAAATATTGAAATAGGATGGTTAACAATTTGATCTACGGTTGGTGGATGACGAAAAGATCACCAGTACTTGATTGTTATACAAATATCATAAAAATATATAATAATCGATCATTAAATATAATAATAATAGCAATTTATTCGACAATATGCAGTTAAGATTGTGTTAGGTTGTGTTAGTTTGCATTGGAATTATTGTGATTTCTGTTGTGAGTTACTGTAAAAAATTTATGTTACAGAACTTGCTATCTTTGTAAAACACATAAAAATGGACCAGGGACACGGAAAAAATGCGATTTTATTTATAGGATTTTTAAATCCTATAAATAAAATCGCATTTATTCCGTGTCCCTGAAATGGACACTAAGGTAAATTTACCAGGTGGGGTATTACAATAATAGATAGAAACAGTGATAGATTTCTTAAATCTGTATTGTTCTAGAAATGAAGAATATGCTTGGTGAATCGAACTGAAAAACTGTGGTGTGATATATACTCTATCAAAACTGAAACGCTTGGTGGACAGATTTTTATCAGCTTTGACAAGTTATCGGTTTTGACAGGTTATACTGTATTATGTATCACATTTCTAACTAGCCTTATTTTTATGGTATTGACAAATACAAGGAAAAAATATGAAAATTCGATATCTATAATAAATTGTGAAATATCTAAAGCTGGAAAAGGATTTTATGACAATATATCGGTGATAAAAATTATAAATTAAGTGATAAAAATGTTTACTGGGTCAAATTAAATATCAATTACACAGATCGCGTAATTGCGCAGAAAATTTGGAGGTGCCTTGGCATAGTTCTTTTTTTTTTTGCTATGGCTGGGGGATAGCTTTAAAAGCAGACAAATGTCATATTGATCCAGTGATCACAAAAATGATTACAAATTTTTTCGATTAACTAAGAAAGCTTCTGGAGCAACAAATGCATTATTTGACGATCAATGATTATTATTCATCAGCCTGATGAAAAAAATGAAAATTACTAAATATCTAGTCAATAGACATATAATATACGTCGGTTCACTGATTTTTTATCGCCATCTTTGACTTTACAGATGCGTGTGTGTCCATTTTTTATCAGTCCTTTTTTTATCCCGTTGTTTGCTAAATTTCGGTATACGTAGTAGTAGTATATTGTATACGTATACATTATACAATATATTATATATTATTATATTTTTGTTCTAAAAATTGCTAAGTTAAAACTATGTATAAATATAAATTAGATATTAAAATGTTCATTATATTACTAATATTTATCAAAAGTCTATATAAAATTTTAACAAGTAAAAGCTGGACTTTATATAAAACCATCTAGCAAAGTAAATCCATATATTTTGATATACGTATTTGTTATAAGAAGATCATATCAACTGATATCCAATATCAGATTTGTGAAACATCTTTTAATCCTTGATTAATTCTAAGCTTTTTGATACTGATCATTGTTTTTGTAAGTTTCTGTTACTCCTATTCCATTCGATAATCATTAGCAGGTGTAAATATTCCGTCGGAATCTCCAAACTCTATAAATTTCTGATAATAAATGAAACCCAAAAAATGAAAGCCTTAAGCTGTCTTTCGATTACATTCAGCACAATAGCGATTACCAAGATCAAATTTTCTGCAAGAATTAAGCATAACAGCGTATTTTTGCAATAAAATAAGTGCCTTATTGCCCATCCTTTTTGATGCAATTTTTACATCTTAACAGTTCTTCATTATGCAGATTATACAATTCTACTAAAAATCCTGTGCTTACTATCTCTTGAGTTGATAATTTTGTGAAAAGTGAAAACTATCAGAAATGGAATAATTCGAGACAACAGTCACACAAAGCCAATGATTGGAAACCAGAATAATTAATATCGGAAAATTCGAAGCCCTTTAATAGTGCTTTGATTGAGACTTACTCAATCAAGTATTAGCCTTGGATCCTGCTGTGGCTGCATTTTTTTTTTTTTTTTACTTTTTTTTTTTTTTTTTTTTGGCAGTGAAAGAAACTGCACACCGACAATCAGTTAAGCATTATTTGCCACGAAGACCGTTTTATGTGCACCAATTTTTTACGGTCTTCATATATTATATCTGCTGTTCCTTTGTCAATATTATAGAGAACGTGTAGAGGAACCACGTCCTCATGCTTTTGTCCAAAGTAATCAACCAGCTTATCATTCGTGCAAATATTAATTACGAATATACGACATTTATGTATATCACGATAACAAACTGTACGAACCACATGTTCATCGAATTTCCTTTGGTTCGCTTCGACTGTTAATTCAAATCCATAAGCTGGTTGGTTGTTGGCGCTAATGAGTATATCAATGCGTTTCAGACTATTTTCATTCGCATCCTTATCCCTTGCTTCCACAATAACCCTATATTGTAAATCAGGATATACCGTGGAGAGCAAATATTTTAAGATACTAGTGAATTCTGCCTGAAACGCGTATTCTGATGGGCTGTTGTTGTTATTGAGAGCTTGTTGGGCAAACACGTGTTGTACAGCGATGTGCTGTATAGGTTAAATGCATAAATCACTTAATAAATCTTCTTTTTAGTGCATAAATCATTTTGGCTGTCGTCAATAGAAACAAGCATTTTAAAAAAATATTAATACTCTAATTTTCACAACTCATATCTTGATGGATTTTAAGGATATCTTGATAATTTAAAAGTCAACGAAAGCTTATGACCTATGCTTTCTTTTGAATATTTAATCATCAATATAGCTTTAAAGTTCATCATGATATGAGCTGTGAAAGTTACGGCATTAATTTTTTAAAAAATGTCAATTTGCCTTATTTTTATTGACGTGTCCGTTAATCAAAGTCTTATTAGGACAGACTATGAAAATCGTTGTTCGACAATTTTGAAAATGGCTGTAAATTGGCTTTACATAACAACTACCTCTATGATGTTTTCTATTAGCCATTGAGTGTCAACTTCATCCGTAGACAATGGTGGGTTAATGGCTTCAAATTCGGGTCCACTTATCATGGAAAGTATGGTGCTACGAAGAATTAGTGAAGAACATTCTAATTCTTTATGAACTTCATTCACATCCTTGGACCTAATCAATCCTTCAGCAAGAAGAAAATCTAATTCATCATCATCTAATTCATGGCACTTTACCCAAAAAAAAACACAATAAGTAACAAATTAAATTATGACTAATAAATAATTAAAGGAATATTAAATCAGTAAAAATAGGGAATCCCATTAACACACCGATAATTACTTCGTAGACACCACATTTCACTGACAATTACTTACCGACAAGTTCATTTCACCGACAGTTAATTTCACCAAAGCTCATTTTACAGACAAAGTAATTTTGGTCAATTTCATTAGAGTTAGGTTAGAACTAGAGTAGTTTATAAAAAAAACTTGTCGGTGAAATAAGCTTCGGTGAAATAGACTGTAGGTAAAATGAACTTGTCAATGAATAATTGTCTGTGAAATGCGATGTCTATAAAGTGATTGTTGGTGAAACAATACGGACCCTAAAAATAGACCTACTAAGCGATTAAATTTTTTAAATCGTATAACTTTTTACACAAGTGGTTTTTAAAAAAAAACCTGACCAGTAACTTTATAGAGCTATGTCAGCTCTACATATATGCCAATTATCTTTACAGTATGATATTTTAAAAAGATATCTGACATATATGTAAAGCTGATATAGCTCTAAAAGTTACCAGTCAGATTTTTTTAAAACTCCTTGTGTAAAAAGTTATAGCGATTTAAAAAATTGAATCACTTCGCATAACTGTTTAGTATAGACATCCTGCATCATAGCATGACTTACCGTATATGAACTATAATGTAAAATATTTCCAATTAGATCCGTTTTATTCTGGGAAAGTCCATTAATGGCCCTGGTAATGGACTTAAATGCGCCACTTCCTTTAATAAATTTGATAAGCCTTGTTGATGAATATTCAACCCAGCCATCGGATGAAAGTTCACACTCTCCTGGCATGACTTCTGTTTCAATTGCCCTGAAGCAGGCACCAACAAGTCCCTTGTATCCGTTCGTACGGAAGTAAATTTTATTTGAAATGTTTATTATGTCCATTTCAAGGCCATAATGGACTATATATTGGTTGAGAAGTTCCTTAACTTCTTCTATGTTAAATGTGTGTGGTGATAATAATTTGAAAGAAAGTATTATTCAAGAGTTTATTAATAAGGTAATATATTAAATTATAAATTATTTGGTAATGTTCGTGTATATTATATTGAATTTTATTTATATTATACCAAAAGCTAGAAATTTTACAAAAAATTACTTTTCACTCAAATGTTATTAAATTCTACGGAATAACCAGAGGTATTTTTTCATTGGTTTTAAATAATAAATGAAATCTTACAGCATATATTAACGTTGAATCATTAATAAATAGATCAATATGGTTGCTATAGCATAGTTTCACAATTCGCCAGTAATACAAATTTACGTGACTACTTAAAACATAATCATTCAAAGCTTTCATGGTATGAAAAATTAAATATGGCCCAAGAAATATCAGAGGGAATCGAATTCTTGCATAAGAATAATATAGCTCATTGCAATCTTGTAAGAGTTTTTATATATGTATCTATGAATGGGTAAAATGCATTTTTTCGAAATCATGTGTATGATAAAAAAAATTAAAATTAATAATAAATTTTTTTTTAAAATCTTGATGAGATATCATGCACATGAAAATGTTGGACATCTATTTAAATAACCTATTTAATTGATTATATAGCATACGAGAAAAAGATGATAATTGCGGGTTTTGATTTATTTGGACAAGCAGATCTAGTTTCGCATCCAGTCTCTCAGAAAGTTCAGGCATATGTTGAGCCTCAATATCTTAGAAATATTTCATATAAACGTGACAAGAAATCAGATATTTATAGTTTGGGGGTCATTTTTTGGGAAATCTCTAGCGGCAGGTCACCTTATTCCTCCAAACTTGGAAGTTTTGTCTCAATTTCAAACCGAATTCTTAAGGGAGAAAGGGATGCGCCTATAAAAGGAACACCATTACAATATACTCAACTCTACAAACAATGCTGGGACGACGATCCTGCAAGGCGACCAGATATTAATTTAATTCTTAACATTCTAACGCACGTAATACAATTGAATGAAATATTAAGCTGATTAAATTATGTAGTGAGAATATGTTTATTTCGGCTTGCCGTGTTGACTTCTTGTAGAGTTTGGAAACAATTTATAGATACGCTATGTCCAAAATATTACATCGCAATAATACTTTATACTACATTATATAAATATATATATATATACCCCATTTTTTTGAGCACAATATATTAATAAACATATATATCTTAAATACTGCACAAATTATTTTATTTGCATAATTTTATAACTATATATCTATAAATTCAAATTCAAATATTATTTGCTTAATATTATGTAGAATGTCCAGCTATTTCTAGCATTTAAAAAATAGGCACACCGAAAATGTGTACAAGGTTCCGATCTGGATGATCACGTGATAGTCCGGATGACTACTCCGGAAGGCGAAATAAAAATTTTTCAACTTTATTATCGTTATCGTTTGTCAATAATAATATATATATAT